GAACTAGTGTAAATGATTTGCAACTGTTAATATATATGAAAAGAAAGGTAAACCGATTACCTTTCTTTTGATTATAACACCGTTAAAATTGCTTTACGTTTTCATAAAAACTTTGCAACTTTTGTAAACAGCTATATATAAGCAGTGGAAAAGTGGTAAAATTTTGCAAAGTTGTAACAAAACAGATTTTTTGTGAACTAGTGTAAATGATTTTCAACTGTTAATATATACCAAAAGAAAGGTAAACCGATTACCTTTCTTTTGATTATAATATTGTTAAAATCGCTTAACTTTTTTATAGAAATTTTGCAACTTTTGAAACCGTCTATATATAAGTCGAAAAAACGCAATCAAATTTTTCAAAGTTGTAATGAAACTGAATTTTTGTGAACCATTATAAATGATTTGCAACTTTTAATATATTTCAAAAGAAAGATAAATCGATTACCTTTCTTTTGATTATAATATTATTAAAATCGCTTAACTTTGTTATAGAAATTTTCCAACTTTTTAAACATCTATGTGCAAATGAGTAATACTAATAATAAGAAATTAAGCCAGTGCATATGTATGTAGGTAAAAATATATTTATTAATGTTAATTACAAGTTTTATTCATAATATTGGTTATTCTTCTTCTTCTTCTTCTTTTTTGGCGCTGTAACCGCCTAAGCGATTTTGGCCGAGTTCAGCAAAGCACGCCAGTCGTTTCTCCTCTGTGCCAACTGACGCCAATTGGAAACGCCAAGTGAAGCCAAGTCCTTCTCCACCTGATCTTTCCATCGCAGTGGGGGCCTCCCTCTTCCTCTGCTACCACCAGCGGGTTCCGAGTTGAATACTTTCAGAGCTGGAGCGTCGGTGTCCATTCGAACGACATGACCAAGCCAGCGGAGCCGCTGTATTTTAATTCGCTGCACTATGTCCATATCGTTGTAAAGCTCATACAGCTCATCGTTCCATCGTCTGCGGTACTCACCGTCGCCAACGCGTAAAGGACCGTAAATCTTCCGCAAAATCTTTCTCTCAAACACCCCAAGAGCCGCCTCATCGGATGTTGTCATTGTCCATGCTTCTGCGCCATATACCAGCACGGGCATGATGAGTGACTTATAGAGCGTGGTTTTCGTACGTCGAGAGAGGACTTTACTCCTGAATTGCCTACTCAGTCCAAAGTAGCACTTGTTGGCAAGAGTGATTCTACGTTGGATTTCAATGCTGACATTATTATCGGTGTTAATGCTGGTTCCCAAGTAAACGAAATTCTCTACTTTCTCGAAATTGCACCTGTCAACAGTGACGTGGGTGCCAAGGCGCGAATGTGCTGACTGTTTGTTTGATGACAGGAGATACTTCGTCTTGTCCTCGTTTACCACCAGACCCATGCGCTTTGCTTCCCTATCCAACTTGGAAAAGGCAGAACAGACTTCGCGGTTTTTGTTACCGATGATGTCGATGTCATCGGCATAAGCCAGCAATTGCACGCTCTTGTAGTAAATTGTTCCTGAGCGGTTCAGTTCTGCAGCTCTTATTATCTTCTCCAACATCAGATTAAAGAAGTCACATGAAAGGGAGTCGCCCTGTCTGAAACCCCGTTTTGTGGCGAACGGCTCGGAGAGGTCTTTTCCAATTCTGACGGAGCTGGTGGTATTGCTCAACGTCATTTTACACAGCCGTATGAGTTTTGAGGGGATGCCAAATTCAGACATAGCGGCGTATAGGCAACTCCTTTTAGTGCTGTCAAAAGCGGCTTTAAAGTCGACAAATAGGTGGTGAGTGTCGATCCTTTTCTCGCGGGTCTTTTCCAAGATTTGGCGTATTGTGAATACCTGGTCTATGGTGGATTTGCCAGGTCTAAAGCCACACTGATAAGGCCCAATCAGTTCATTGACGGTGGGCTTCAGTCTTTCACACAATACGCTCGATAAGACCTTGTAACCTATGCTTAGAAGGCTGATCCCGCGGTAGTTGGCGCGAATGGCGGGGTCACCTTTCTTGTGGATTGGGCAGAGCACACTTAAATTCCAGTCGTCGGGCATGCGTTCATCGGACCATATTCTGCACAAGAGTTGATGCATGCACCTTATCAACTCCTCGCCGCCGTACTTGAATAGCTCAGCTGGCAGGCTGTCAGCTCCAGCGGCTTTGTTGTTTTTCAGCCGCGTTATTGCTATACGTACCTCGTCATAGTCAGGCGGTGGAACGTCGACTCCGTCATCATCGACTGCGGGCTCGGGTTCTTCTTCTCCACAACTTTCTGTGCTGCTGCCATTTAGTAGGGCGGAAAAGTGTTCCCTCCATAATTTAAGTACGCTCTGGACATCAGTTACTAGGTCGCCATTATTGTTCTTACAGGAGTGCGCCCCGGTCTTTAAACCTTCCGTGAGTCGCCTAACTCTCTGGTAAAATTTTCGGGCATTCCTCCTGTCGGCCAGCATTTCAAGCTCTTCGCACTCACGTATTTCTGCCTCTCTCTTCTTGTTGCGGCAAATACGTCTCGCTTCCCTCTTCAGATCCCTATAGCGGTCCCACATAGCGCGCGTTGCGCCCGATCGCAGCGTGGCCCTGTAGGCGGCATCTTTTTTCTCTGCAGCTTCCTGACACTCCTCATCGTACCAGTTGTTCTTTCGGGCTCGCTGAAATCCGACTACTTCTTCGGCGGCGGTACTTAATGAGCGGGAAATGTGGTTCCACTGCTCGCATATGTCGGTTTGTTGAAGAGTGCTCTCTGAGAGCAGGTGTGAGAGTCGAGTAGCGAAAGCGCTGGCTGTCTGTTGTGATTGCAGCTTTTCGACGTTAAGCTTTCCTTGCATATTTGGGCGCACATTTTTTGCTGCACAGAGGCGGGTGCGTATCTTGGCTGCAACAAGATAGTGGTCCGAGTCGATGTTTGGGCCTCGGAGTGTGCGTACGTCTAAAACACTGGAAGCGTGCCTTCCGTCTATCACAACATGATCGATTTGGTTTCTCGTTTTTCGATCCGGAGACAGCCAGGTAGCTTGATGGATCTTTTTATGCTTGAACCTAGTACTGCATACTACCATGTTTCGGGCCCCGGCGAAGTCGATCAGCCTCAATCCGTTGTCGGACGTTTCGTCGTGGAGGCTGAATTTTCCGACGGTGGTTCCAAAGATCCCTTCTTTGCCCACCCTGGCATTGAAGTCGCCAAGCACGATTTTGATATCATGACGGGGGCAGCGCTCGTACGTGCGCTCCAAGCGCTCATAGAAGAGATCCTTGGATGCCTCATCCTTCTCTTCCGTCGGGGCATGGGCGCAGATGAGCGAGATGTTGAAGAATCTCGCTTTGATGCGGATTGTGGCTAGACGCTCGTCCACCGGGGTGAACGACAGTACTCGGCGACGGAGTCTCTCTCCCACCACAAATCCAACTCCGAATTTGCGCTCCTTTACATGGCAGCTGTAGTAGACGTCGCAAGGCCCCAGACATTCTTTGCCTTGCCCCCTATTGGTTATTAAGTATGTATATTATGCATTTTGAAAATAAATTTTGCAAAACAAAAATCAAAACATTTTAGAATTTTTTATTTAAAGTTTCTAAGGTTATTTTGAATTCGCTGTGAAGAGAATGCAACCCTGAGCCGGCAGAAGGGGGCAATGCTAGACGAGTGCAGCTATATGTTTTCCTTAGGAAGTATCTGAATGAGTGCGACAGTGATGCAGGGCTCACACGTACAGGGGGAAAGTGGTGACAATCTGCACACCGCCCATACAAATGTAACCAGTTTTGTCACCAGTTTTGAAGTGACCGAAACCCGCAGTTTCACCAGATTTTTCACCACTTTTGGCTGGCAGGGATAATATTAAATACATACTCTTTTCTCTGGTAAATAAAGGGTGTTTTTTTTTAGACGTGTGGCAATGAGGCAATACTTTTTTCGGAGTTGGTCTTGTTGACAGCTGTTACTTGTTTTATACTCAGTTTGGTTTGCCTTTTCATAATGAATAGGGATGCAAATTTTGAGTAACATCGATACATCGATGTTTCGATGCATCGGAAAAATGAACATCGATGCTAAAATACATCGCCAGAAAAACATCGATATAGCGATGGCTTCCGATGTTTCGAGATTTGTTAGGAAAATTTAATACTTTTCAATTCCAACTCTCTGTAATTCAATTATTGCCTTATTTATTTACCATTCCCTCCCTATAAATAGAATAGAAATGCATGCCGTCGTAAGTTCGCTGAGCCTAAAGTTCCAAGGCCCAATTTCATTGAAATTTCAACGGGATTCCGGTCCTTTTTTAATGACTAAGTATGCATTTTTAATATCGAAAGATACGAATTTCTGAATGTTCCTTTTAAAAGAAAAAAATATAAAAATTCATGGCCAGTCAAAAAATTTTAGCAGCATAATTCGATGTTAAAACATCGCTGAAACTGGCGTCGAAGTATCGTCAATTTAGCGATTTTAGGAAAATGTAAACATCGAATTTTTAACCGATATTATCGATGTTTCAAAAATATCGATGCATCGTTTGCATCCCTAGTAATGAATAGACTTACTCCGGAACAACGTTTGCAAATCGTGCAAATTTATTACCAAAATAATGGTTCGGTTATGACGTAGACCAACCGTAACATATGCATAGGCACCTTAAGCTCATAATCATATCTGTATGTAAGTATGTAACCTAGGCTTAAGTAATCGAAAAACGATTGTAAGGTTTTCGATAAAACACAGGAATGACTAGTATGGAGTTGTAAAAAGAACTAGCGTGACAACGAAAGATAAAATTGGGGAAAATAAAACTAAAGTTTACCTGAATCCAAATAAAAATCAAAAGTTTATTTCCTAAAAACCTTAATTGGCGCAGTCAGCGGGATTCAGCTTGATTACCAAGAGTTCATAAGAAACTGCGATAAACTACCACCCCTATTGCGAGTGTCGACTGGCAGTAGATAAACGACTATTAAGCGATTATCGATTATCGATGCTATTGTGAGTGTCGCTTAGGTCGGTGTTATGCAGAAATTTTGTTTGGCAAACTGCGTGAAATTGTTGTTGCAGCAAACTCGGAGAGAGAGAGTTTGGTGACTCTCACAGCAAACTAAATTTGTTGGGCCAAACAGATGAAAAATAAGTGTTGCCATACACAAAAATTTGCTGGAAAATACAGTATTGCCATACCGATATGGTAGATGTTGCAGTTTACATGTTTATTCCAGAAGAAAACGCGCTGAGTATATGTACTGCTAACGCAAAATTTTCGATATAAAGATATTTAATATCCGCGCGAATATAAAAGTTATTAAAGTGAGTATTTGTATTACAAAAACATTATTACTTATTTGTGTGTCGTTAGAAAATGACTAAGCAAAGAAATTTGTGAAAATCTAAAGTGGGTCAATTAATTTTTATAATTATAGAAATGTCTATCTCCTGGAGCCGAGCGTTAACGGAAGAATTAATAAATCTTCTCCAGGCCCGAGAGTCTTTGGAACACAAAGCATTGCCATTATAGTGACAGGGATAAGCGAAATGCGGCAATAAATGGAATTCACGACGTTTTGGTGACGAAAGATCCCCTTGTGACCCCAAAAAACATTAGGGAAAAAATTCAAGGACTGCGCTCACAATTTCGGAGAGAAGTGAGGGCAATTGAAGCCAGTAAACGGAGTGGATGCGGCGCAGCAGATGTGAAAACACCCAAAATGTGGTGTTACGAGCTGCTCCAGTTTCTACGTCCAAACGTAGAAATAAGGGAGATGCAGGATAGATTAAATGATGAAAACAGGCCACAAACGGTAAGATTTTGTGACATAAAGTTTTCTAAGAGTAATTTGTAATTTTTCCAATAGAGATACGATACAGACAATAATATAAACACTGATAACGCCTCGTTGAGGGACGAACCGTCGGTAAGTTATATTTTCACGATTCGTAGCCGAAATGCTGAAAAACGTTGAATTCATTAAAATAAGTTAAAAAGGCTCAACCATATTTATTTAAAATTTCAGGCATTATATTTAATTTGCATAACTTTTATTGCTGTTCTAACCACTCCAGCTTTCCTTCATTATTAAAATATTCAAGAAAAGAATTTCTTATTGCTTCAGGTGAGAGATTTCTTTCATATGATATTGCATTAGAATGCATTGTATCCATAAATGGTTCACTCAAAGAACTTATCCTATTACTTAAAATAAAGTTGTGAAGTACACAACACGCCTGTATAATGGTCTCAATAGTTCTTACGTTTTGTAAGTTGATTGGTTTCTTCAGTATAAGGAATCTTTGAGAGAGTATGCCGAAAGCTCTTTCACTTGTTTGACGTGCCCTGGACAATCTTTTATTGAAAATAATTTTTTCACGCACACTTGTGAGGTGTGAGTAAGGTTTCATCAGGTGTCTTTGTAGTGCAAAAGCATTATCGGCAACCACGACATAAGGCAATAATCTTTGGTTCCCTATAACTTTGTCTGGTGGAAAGTATGTATCCCCATTATTCAACACTCGCTGTAAAGACGAATGGCTTAGGATAGCTCCATCATGAGTTCTACCATTTGCGCCCACGTTTATATAAATAAATTTGCAATTTGCATCCACCAGTGCTAGCAGTACAATGCTATCAGTTCCTTTGTAATTGTGATAGTAAGAGCCATCTGATTGAGAAGCGTAGAAGCTTACATGCTTTCCATCTAAAGCTCCTAAACAAAGAGGAAACTGCCATTTCCGCTCAAACTGATCTGCAATTGATTTCGTTTATTTGGAGACTCTGGGAACTAAAAATAATAACAATTATTTTATTTTCAGGTTTCATCATCTTGCAGAAAACGAAATAAGGCTCATTTTCAACAAAAGGTACAACAGGGATTAAAAGAGTTGACAAATATAATGGTGACAAACACAAAAAGGAAATATGAGTGGTTTGGCGAGGAGGTGGTCAGCATACTGGATGGTATGAAAAGTGAGGACGCTGCTCTGGAAACCATTGACGCCATCCATTCCCTGCTATCTTCCGCCAGAAAAAAAGACAAGGAAGTAACAAACTCCGCGACAACTCGGGATATTTTAAGTTTAGCTTTAGATGGTGTTTTAGATGATAGCGATTTGAAATAGATTTTAAGTTAATGTAAGTTTTTAATGAATTTTACGGTTGTGGTAGGTGATAAGTTTTAATGAATTTTTTTATTTTTACTTAATATCGTCACCTCACGGGAAGAGGGACCTATGTCGGCAGCCAATTCGAAAACGGCCTATCTCAGAAATTATTCAAGAACGCCCCACTTCAGAATTTGACTGAAGAACGCCCTATTTCAGAATTTTATTGAAAAACACCCTATCTCAGAATTCGGCTCAAAAACGCCCTATCTCAGCTGGAAATACATTGAAAATGTACTGAGATAGGGTGTTTTTGAATCGCCAGCTGAGATAGGATGTTTTTTAAATAAAATTCTGAAATAAGGCGTTCTTCAATCAAATTCTGAAGTAGGGCGATCTTCAAAAGTTTTCTGAGATAGGGCGTTTTCGAATTGCCTGCCGAGATAGGTCGATCTTCCACTTAGGTGACGATATATTTATGTATATAAAATGTGATTTAGTGTTTAAAACGAAAAAATTTATTTAAGTTAATATTGAATTGGTTTTTTTAAATTTCAGTACCTGTTGTATTTTTACGTTTTAATAAATATTTATTGAATTGACTTTAATATTTAATTTACTTTATTTCATTAAAACATATAAGGTAAAGATGGTTAAAAGGTCTATGTCACTTGCTTTTATATTTGGT